TCTCTGGGTTAAGCCCCCGGCAGCCGGTCCCGCAGGCCCCGGGCAGAGGGAAATGGCATTTACCACCAGCTGCTTCTGCTGACATTTGATTGTTCAAACAAGGCCCAGGGAAAACAAAAAGCTACAGTAGAACATTGGAGCGTTTAATAAGATCCAGCCAAGCCCTGCGAGCGCTTGGGATAAAGACGGGATTTCAATAAAAAGGCTTCTTTATGATCAAATTAATGGGTTAGTATTCCCCACCCAAGCGATGCCATTTGGATTTTTTCTTTTTTTCCCCTCCCACTAATGAGCTTTGCGGAAACAAGTCCTTGTAGGTGCTTCCCGCACACGAGCAGCTGAAGGTGCTGGGAGGTGCTGGGAGGTGCTGGGTGCCCCGGTGGAGTCATAGGGTCATAGAATCATTTAGGTTGGAAGGGACCTTGAAGACCACCCAGTGCCACCCCTGCCCTGGGCAGGGCCACCTCCCCCCAGCCCAGGTTGCTCCAAGCCCCGTCCAACCTGGCCTTGAACACCTCCAGGGATGGGGCAGCCACAGCTTCTCGGGGCAACCTGCCCCAGGGGCTCACCGCCCGCACAGGGAGACAGTTCTTCCTCACATCTCATCTCCATCTGCCCTCTGCCCGTCTGAAGCCATTCCCCCTCGTCCCATCACTCCATGTGATAATAATAATAATAATAATAATAATAATATCCAATCTAAGTCTCCCCTGGCATAGCTTGAACCCATTTCCTCTCGTCTTATCACTCGTCACCGGGGAGAAGAGCTCAGCCCCCCCCTCGCTGCCCCCTCCTTTCAGGTGGTTGTAGAGGTGATAAGGTCTCCCCTCAGCCCCCTCTTCTCCAGGCTGAACACCCCCAGTTCCCCCAGTCGTTCCTCATCAGACGTGTCCTCCAGACCCCTCACCAGCTCCGTTGCCCTTCTCTGGACACGCTCCAACACCTCAATGTCCTTTTTGTACTAAGGGGCCCAAAACGGAACACAGCACTCGAGGTGGGGCCTCACCAGTGCCCAGTACAGGGGGACAAGGTGAGCTCTTAAAATATTTCCTGTCCTAAAGATCCGAGCCGGTGAGCGCCGGGATGTCTTTCACCATTCGCGCTTCACCGTTGCAGAACTCCACCGCGTTGGGCAGGCTGCGGCGCTGAGCCGTTGGCATTTCAATAGCTCCTGCCGGTTTTGGAAGAGATCAGTAAAGTATAGAAGCAGCTATTTAACATTCCGGAGGCGCAGCGCCTACATGGGAGTTATCAGTCACTCCAGGCAGATGGTAAATGTATCTCCTTTCACCACAAACTGAGCAGCAAACATTCAAATCCATCACCACGACAACATATTTAAATCCACTTCTATTTTTCAATTCATACGTTTTTAACAAACTGCTAAGTAATGACGATCAATATTTTCCCCCAAGCAAGCAGGAGACAAGTCCTGAAGCTCTGCCCGGCTGCGGAAGACGCGCTCTGCGCATTGCAGCCACCCAAAATTATCCACCGCGGAGTCAAACGTGGCATCCCGGGTGCAGGTCGCGTCATCCCACCCGGAGGCAGAAGTGCCGTTATATCGGAGCTGACTTTTCCTCGGCCTCGGCACCGAGGTGGGACGTGTCACTTCTGGCACGGAGCGGCTAAGGCAGAGGTGGCCTCCATCCCAATTTGGGGGGATTTTGATAGGATTTGTGCATTTTTAGCTGAAAAAAAAGAGGCTGGTGCATTTCTTGCACGTTCCAAGCAACCTCAGCAGACCACCCGTCGTCTTTGTTAGGGTATTTGTTAGCGACCAGTTAGTTAAAATCGTTACTTAACAAAAATCAGATGAACTCAAACCCAGGTGCATTTAGCAGGAATAACTCACATCGGCAACATACTGCGTGAACTTTACTTGAGCAGACAGAGAATATCCATCGGGGTCCTGATCCCCACTCAGCCAACTCCGAACTGTTGGATAAAGAACATTTTCCATCTTACTTCCAATAAAACCCTTCTAAAATTCCCTAGCAGGAGCCATCTCACAACCACCAAGCGCCCATCGGGGCTCACCTGCAGCCGCGCGTAGGGCAGGAGCTACCCAGGGAAATAATGAAAACGCCCCATCTTTGCCTTAAGATAAAAAAAAAATTTATTTTACAGTCTTATAAAGCAGCTTTACATTAAGCACAAACGTTGATCCATTTACTTTGTATATAAACATAGTAGAACCTTTCCCTCTGCAAAAAGTCATGTCTCGCCGTATAGAAAACTAACATGTGCACATTGTGCTTAAACTGCGAAGTCTGTACAGCTTTACAAAGGACTACCCTTCACAAGAGCATCCTGTAAACAATTTATTGCATATTTAACACATGGTGTATATCCCACATGTGGAAAAAGGAAAAAAAAAACCAAAAAACCAACAAAAAAGTAGAAAAAATAAAGTACAATTCCAAGGTGAATGAAAATAGCAGCTTTCAGTGAATGTCTTGCACAATGGCCAAGAAAAAACAGCGCTGCCACACGTGTACAGTTGTGCTTGTGTGTCACTGGTTTGCATATACCCACGCGCACTGTGTGTCCGATGAAGTCTCTGTACAGGAAACCTCACGGAAAGGTTAAACAGATCTTAGCAATTAAGACCTTTGTCAGTTTGAAGACTGGAAACAAACCCCCAAACCCCAACTTAAACAAATCCCATGGAAATTATGGGCACCGATGTCCAATAATCCTCTTCCACTGCGCAACTCAATGAAAAAAAACCAACAGGAGAAACCCCCACACTACCTCTCTTCGGTTCTACAACCCCTGATGGGGGTTGGTTTCATTTCTAGGTGTGCTAAGGCCAACAAAACCGCGATGGAGATGTTAAGGATGAGGTGGTGTGACAGGACCGATGGCGTTGGCATGGCCAACCGACGCTTCTGAGCTCACCTACCCAACGGCTGCCGGGCTGACTCTCGGGAAGCACCGAAACAGCAGCGACACTGCAATTTTTCAACTGGCATTAATCAAAAAAAAAAAAAAAGGAAATTTTGGCCTCCATAAGGCACCGATAGCATCTCTTGAGCGGTACCCAAAGAGTCTCTCTGGAGTCTCCAAACAAATGGGCAAAAGACGGAGGAAACACGCAGGAGAAAGATGTCTCTGCGTTCGCAGTAAGGACCAGTCATTCATAAAGGAAGCACATTTTTCTGGGGTTTGTGTGCGCGCGCGCGCGTGTGTGTGTATTCACATATACGTTAAAAAAAAAATAAAATTCACCTCTGCTACCTTTGGTATTGAAATTTCTCCTGTGACATCCACTTCTCATATGAAGCCATATGATCGGAGCATGCGTTTGCGAAGATCAAGTAATTACAAAGCTGTTTCAAACATCTGCGAGAAATAGAAAAAGCAGCAAAAAAGAGAGAAAAGAACAAAAAAAAGAGGCGTATCGTCCTTGCGCCCGGCTTTTTCGTGAGCTGAATGAACTTTGTCCTCGGTATGAACATCTTAAGCTTAACCCCCCGCTACGTGTACAACATGTAACAGGACGGGTGGAGAAACCCCAAAGTTAATCCACGTCCCTCCCGTGCCGGCATCCATCCGGAGCTTTCGAGCCCGGGACTCCTACAGCAAACACCGGCACGCCTCAGCAGAGCCGCTAACACCATATTTGCCCCGCTACCAAACTAAACAGCCCCGATCTCATGACGGGACGGGTTGGTTTTACTCTTCTGCATCAACCAGAACGCCGAGAAGGCAGACTAATGGTGGGGGTGAAGGATGGAGAAAGAGGATAAAGAAACCACCTGGTTCCGTCTGCGTTACAGCAGTACAGCCAAAGCGTTGGGGTTCGGACGCGCGTGTTGGGTTATTGCACGGGGCCCCTCGCTCGCTCGGCAGAGCCACGAAGACAAAGCACACTCAAGAAGGCAGTGCCGGAGATGTCACGACCCCTTACACCACGAGTAAGACAACAGGCAGAGGTGAACCTTGGTATTAAAGCACAGGTGGAGCTGGAAAGCCCTCTGGGGTGATTCTCATTTTTGAAACGCTTGATATTCTCAAGCAGGTTAAAAATGAAAACCATCACAGGAAAACCTTAATTAATTCCAATTGAATTTCCCGCGTGCTACACAAAACAAGCTCCACGTCACGCTCAGGAATTCGAGAGAAGCCTCCCAAAGAATGAAGCTGCCAAAGCTTAGAGAAACCTCTCAGATGTAATTAAAAAAATACAGTACAAAACATCGGGCTCCACGACAAGAGATTCCAGCTACCGGGGAGGGGATGACACCAGCAAACCTGACGGGCGATGGCAAATTTGGTAACTAGGCTGCAGGCGTGGTGAGCTCCGCGAGCCCCACCGAGTTGTGCTTAACGGGACGTGACTTCGAAGCCCGAATGCCGTCTGCGTGTTTTCCATCCACACGTCTGTAAAGAAACCACACAGCGTGAGGAGCTCCATACAGAGAAGCGGGAAAAAAAAAAAGAAAATTAAAAATGTGTGGTTTTCACCCCAAGAAAAGAATCCGCATTAAAAAAAAAAACAAAACCCAAACCTTTAAAAAGATACACTGTCCACTACCCAGGCTACAAGTAAATACACATTTACGGTGTTACACCACATAATCTGTTACGCTGTTCCAACATATACACATATAACTCCATTTTAAAAGAGGCCACAGACTAACTTTTCAGGCAAGTGCTGGACTTTAGAGACCTGTATGGCTTCTGCAAATATTTTCTTACAAAAAGGGAAAAACCAAAAAACCCAAACAACCCCCAACCCAAAACCGTCCCCAAACTCAGGAGCACAAAGGGGTTTTGCTTCGTGCGGACAGTTTCGCCGCGGAGCGCTGAGGACAGGTGAAGTTCCCGAATCCTTCCCATCAGACCCAAACAGTTTCACGCTGGAATGCAATGATTTCAAGAGATCAGTTTTAAGGATCACTTCTTTGAAACGGTCCGTAAAAAATTTCCGACGCAACCTTCGCAAGCGGAGCTCCGCGAGGCAGCAGGGCCCGGGGGTTTGGTTGTAAGCTCTAGTTGTGCTTTGCCCGCCCGCCTCGCAGGTAGCTCTTCCACCTCTTGACGAACTCTTTGAAGATGGGCGACTCGTCTATGGTGCTGAGGAGCTGGAGCTGGTTGATGTGGGTGGTGTGATAGTCCCACCGGGCCAGGTTGGGAGCGGTGCCGAGCATGAAGTGCCGAAGGTCGTAGATGGTCCCTGAGCCAGTGTCGTAGAGGGGAAGCATGGCCTTCAGGGACTCCATGCCCCGCTCGTAGAGGACCCGGGCCTCCTTCCCCAGCTTCTCCCCTGCCGTTTCTTTTAAGTCATACAGCCCGATTAAGGAGTACATGAAGCCGTTGAGCACGAAGGAGCTGGGCGAGGTGGGGTACTCCTCGTACCAGTCGTGCCGGTTCATGAAGACGGCTTTCACCCCGCGCTGCTCCGACGGCAGCTTGTACGGCGCCGTGGCCCGCAGAGCCGAGCTGAGGAACACGTGGTCCTTTGTCAGCAGGTACGCCCGCACCAGCGTGGAGATGGCCTGTCCTTGCGCCATGGCCGAGTACCAGCCCGGGTCCAAGGACTTAAATCCTTCCCCCAGCTTCCTCGTCACCATGATGGGCCAGCCGCCCCTCTCGTCCTGGTTCCTCACCAGCCAGTTGCTGGCAGCGAAAAAAGCCGCCATGTGAGCGGTGGCCGAGATGGTGACGTTATCGAGGAAGCCTCTACCCTTCGCTACCAGCCGCACCACTCTCTTGGGCATGATTTTGGTCTGCTTCACGGCTTTCGTGTTCGAGAGGCCGACCCCCTTCCGCAGGTCGGTGACCAGGTCTCTGGTGAGGGTGCTCCAGCTAGTCCTGGGACCGATGCCGTAGTAGATGTCTCGGTCCTTAAAAGCGATGAGTTGGGTGTTGGAGACGTAGTGCACGGTGAAGAGCTGGTTCTTCTCCGTCGTCTCGAGAACCACAGAAACGCTCCCATTCGTTACGAATTTGAGATCGAAAGAAATAATAAAATCTCGGGTGTTCCCAAGCTGCAGCGACACTCCCTCGGTATTTTCTGCAAAACAAACAAAAAAAAGCCTCGTTCAGCGGCAGAGCACTCGGTCCTCCGAACCCTTTAAGCTATGGAGTGCAGATCCAGAGGTAAGCCCTCGTACCAGCCAGGATCCGAAAGCTTTTAGGGCAGCCCATCAATAATTCAATCGCTCTTTCTGCACGCTGTCCTAATATTATTTAATTAAGCACAAAAGTAAATCCGTGAGCGAAGGCCGACTCCCGCAGCACCGGGGAGAACTCGTTTGCGTCTTACATTAACGCGCCGCAGCGCTTTGCCGGGGAGCAGAAGCGCCAGGGGCTCCATCGATGGCATTTTATCAGACGCTTCTGGTACCCGACGGATGGAGGGGATGGATGGAGGGGCACAACGGACACCGGCAGGGTCTGGGGTAAGGGAAAGGACCACCAGCGGGGGGGGGTCTCACCGCTGCCCGCTGGCGGGAGGCAGCCCAGGCAGAGCCGAGACCTTTCCTCCAGGATGGGGCACAGCAGCCGCGCTGCACGAACCGAGATGCCGGGCGATATTCCTCTTCCGTAATTCCAAATCGAAACCAATGACCGCCCTTGCGTTCCAAACCCAGAGCTTCACTTGGCGGAAAAGACACCAAAAACCGCGGCGCTGCTTAAAGCAGTCGCCTTTCTGAATAAAACTCCACTTTCCGCAAAAAAAAAAGCCCGGAGAGCCTAGCAG